CTCGCGTCCAATGTAAACACGGTACGCCTAGTTATCTATCGTGGTAATTTGCAGGTCGTGTCAAAAAGTTGTTGGTTTAGATAAATAGCTGTATTCTGTACGTTTGACTCGAGTACAATAACTTTCTTCCAAATACGATAATTTTGAGCTTCTGGTACGATACTTGGACATTTCCAGTCTGGCAACACTGACTCACATACTGTGCATATGCTCATATTTCTGCACATTATATGTAATTTCATGAACTGTCGACAGATGTTTTATGAACGTACCAAATAAAGTATCATTTTTAGTCAGAGTTGGAGTTTCTTTATTAGTGTTTACTATATATATACAGTGTGTGTAGAAGAGAATCAGCCCCCTTTAAATTAATCACATGTTGTTGCTTTGCAGCACAAAGATAGCTATATCCTAAGGGTCTTTTGAAAGGCTCGTAGACCAAGATAAACCATATACAGCTAGCCTCAGATATCCAGGTAAGACCTTCTTTCAAATCTGCCCAGACCACAGACAGTGGGCTACCTGCTTACAATCCTAGCAGGGGAGATAGCACTCTCTAAGGGGCAATGCAATCTACTTTATTTGATTGCACCATTTGTTCTTAAGAAAGAATAGCTAGCATGTCATATGATCTCCGTAAAAAATAATGCAAAGTGGAATAATGACGTTTACCCTCAGTGATCCAATAACTGTCAAATATGTGAGCAGAATGTAGTGAATTTCAGTTTATTCTTAATTATCAGTATATCCCTGATCCTTGAACTTCTTTTGCCTCAAATAAAAAAAAATGGTAAAAAAATTTACCATATTTTACCATTGAAATATGATGCTACATAAATGAATAGCTTATATGGCCGATATAATATGGGTGATATAAAGCCAATATTGACACAAAATGCACCAAAAGTGCTCTCCATAATGAAAATGAAAATTTGCTGACAATGTTCTCACCCTCAGGCCATCCAAGACATAGATGAGTTTGTTAAGGACACATTATTATGACTTTTGGGCTGGTATTTTGATCAGAAGCAACGGGTTAAATTTATAATGTCTTAATGATGTTTGTGTTTCTCACAAACATGCAGCTCTTCACTTCACAAGATGATAATAGATTGACTGGAGTCATGTGTATTACTTGTGGATAGTGCTGGGCAATATACTGGTTTAAACAATAAACTGGTTTGAATTAAACCCGGCATACCATGGCTAACGTAGACAGTGTCGTGAACTGAATGGGGATACCTATTACCTGCATACTCTTCTGACTAATGGCTGGAGAACTTATAGAACTATTAATAACACACAACTAATTCTTTAACTAGGCATGAACTGTAAACGGCCGTTAACAGAGCGTGAAATATTGGAAGAAAATCCTAAATACTGAATTGGGGTGAGGGTTTATATATCTCTGAGGGGGACTGACTGTCTTCAGAAAAATTAATATGTTATTGTTTTTTCATCTAACATCCTTTAATGTAGTATTTAAAAGCCCAGCGCTGCTTTGTTTAAAGCGGTAACCAAGGAAACGCTGCATCACTGCTGTTCCATAAGCACCACCTGCTGTCAGAGAGTGAATTTGCGCTCTTCTTCAGCCCATCTGCTGTTCGTTTTGTGCAGATATATTTTATGCAGTATAGTTTATCAAAGCTAAGGTCAGACCATTCTGTTTTTGCTTCAGATTTTGAAATTATACAATTGAATTTATATTAACTGTTCATACTACATATAGCATGTTTGTTTGGATCGTGATTAAAATGCAGTGATTCTATAAGTAAGAATCCTAAAAAAAAAACACGATAAAGATTTTTGTTTAAACTGACCAGCACTACATGTGTATTATTGTGATGTTTTTATCAGAATCTGTTGGTCAGCAAGGGATGTAATGCTACATTTCTCCAAATCTGTTCCAAATCTTAGATGGCATGAGGGTGTGTAAATGTTCATCAATTTTTCTCGTTTTTTCACATTTTAAAACATTTATTTATCATGATTGATTTTATTAGACATGCAAGGGCTCAAAGGAGACCGCTATTTAAAAACTTTAGGGGGGGGATGGGGGGTTGGGTTCGTGCGCTTGAGCGTGCCTCAAAAAGAGGGCTTACAATGACTTACAAAGATAGTAAAATATGAGTCCATAATCCATAATAACTCTTCCTCCAGTGAAAAAGTGCATCTGTTGTTGTCTCTCACAATAAAATCCAGCCACATATTTGTTTAGAGCTGTTTAAACGCTGCTTGATCTGTGCAGATTTCTCTCCTGATTCAGACCAGAACACTGACTCACTGGAGGAAGAGTTATTATGGATTATAAATTCTATGGTATTTGAGTTAAAAACGTCTTAATGCTGGATTAGTTTCAGCTTTTGTCTTCTCCAGATGTTAACTGATGGACTGGAGTGCTGTGGATTACAGTAATAATGCTGTGAATAATGTTCAGTTTCTCACACAGAGCGATGGTTGGGCTTCACAGGGATTCATTCTGTGTTGCCTGATGGGCTTTTTTGACTCTCAAAGTGCCGGCAGCCATTGCCTTGCATTATAAGACCCATCAGCTGCAGATCTTCCTCACTGCTGTACTGTAGGGATGTTCTGGTTTGTGGCTGAGTGCCGGCTACACAGCTCCCAGCAGAGCACACTCACACTCTCTGCTAACACCTCTGGCTCTCTCAGCTCCGCTCCGCTCAAGTGTTTCGGCCGGAGGAGACTGTCTCGTGAGGTGCTGCTCAGGAGTCTGAGCGACAGACAGACACAGCATCTCCATCATCACAGACTCCTAGCGGCTCGTCTGCTGCTCGCTCCACGTCTATAATAAACACTCTAAATGCACTGTGTACTCAACCATAGAGTATGAATTATATGAGGTTATTTTGTCATTCATAATCAGCGTCTGATAGCTCCTCCCCCTTCATTATGTAATTAAAGCTGCGGCAGGTGAGTGCATCAAGTGTTTAACACGCCACACTCTGTTTTTTCTGTAAGTGCATCATCTGGGTATTTAAAGTGCACTTTTTCTATTTGGACTTTTCGGTGTGAATGCACTACTCGCGCTACTTATGCTACAAAACGTCATAGAACAGTGCAGGGATGTTCTGGTTTGTGGCTGAGTGCCGGCTACACAGCTCTCAGCAGAGCACACTCACACTCTCTGCTAACACCTCTGGCTCTCTCAGCTCCGCTCCGCTCAAGTGTTTCTGAGCGACAGACAGACACAGCGTCTCCATCATCACAGACTCCTAGCGGCTCGTCTGCTGCTCGCTCCACGTCTATAATAAACACTCTAAATGCACTGTGTACTCAACCATAGAGTATGAATTATATGAGGTTATTTTGTCATTCATAATCAGCGTCTGATAGCTCCTCCCCCTTCATTATGTAATTAAAGCTGCGGCAGGTGAGTGCATCAAGTGTTTAACACGCCACACTCTGTTTTTTCTGTAAGTGCATCATCTGGGTATTTAAAGTGCACTTTTTCTATTTGGACTTTTCGGTGTGAATGCACTACTCGCGCTACTTATGCTACAAAACGTCATAGAACAGTGCATAAGTACGCGATTTGGGATGCACATTTAGTATGTCCGAAATCGTAGTATGTTGAAATTAGTATGCCAAAGACTCCCGGATGGTTAACTACTTCCGGTTAGAATTCGAAATGCAGATTCGTCACACTCTAACGGCTAATATTACCCACAAGACATTGCGCGGTGGACGAGGATTCGATTAGAACTACAAACATGCATTAAAGTGTTAAAAACTACAAACATGCCGGATATGCGAGACCGACGGACTGGTAGAGAAGGGTTTGAGTGATAAATAATCAAAATCTAACTTGTTGAATAAAAATATTTATTTAATGTTATCAGCGTTAAATTCAATTTGCAGCAACACTGTGCACTTTATAAAGACACGTTTGGTCATTAACTTTTAAATTCACACACATGAGCAGAGTTCTGGTCTTAAAAGACCCGCGACTGGATCAACGTGCCTCTTCATTTCTCTCCAATACGGTAGGAAATTAAATTAAACTAAATATGGATAATGTTAACTGTGACTAATGCCGAGTTCACACTGCACGACTTTAGCCCGATTTTTCACTCGCCGACAGGTTTTGTGAAATCGCCGACAAATGCCCGACATCGGAGGCAAATCGGTGCTCGTTCACGCGAGTGACAACCACACAGTGTGAATTATCAAAGACGCGATCTGAGCGAATCGCCGACACGTCGCCGACGCCCGTGAAATATTTGGCATGCTAAATATCTGGAGCTGTCGGCGATTCACAATCACGCTGTGTGAAATGATATATTTTTTAAATAATTCCAGTCTTGCTCGAGAACTCCGGTCTGACGCACGCGGGTTCTCGCGTTATTTCCTTATCACTTCTCGCGTGTGTTTTGTTGTGAAACCTAGTTTGCGGACCAGACAGAGCTGTCGGCGATTCTTCCTATTGTGAAGTCATGCAGTGTGAAACCCCCTGTCGCCGATCCATCGTGCAGTGTGAACACAGCAGCAACTGAATGCTACCCCAGATAGTCACGCAGTGTGAAAACAACCGCGATCCGACGAGTTTGAAAATCGTGCAGTGTGAACTCAGCATAACTTAGATGATTGACAGGGCAGTTTAAACTGTGACAGGATGCTCGTAACTAAGCAACAGAGCGTCGTTAAAGATGCAGTTATGACGAAGTAGTTTATCCCAACGCTTGCATAGGCTACTATTCTGCTACACACTCAAGAGTATGTACTTATTCTTCACCAAAAGAGTACATACATCTGTTCTGGGAACAGCGAGCGCGGGTAACCATGGTAACTGCGGTGTGCCGACGCGGCCGCCGTAGCCCGTGCGCGGAAACCCCGCGCCATCAGAAGAGCGACGACGCAGCGGAAGACACACAAGATGGCGGCGATCGGCGGATAGACGAGCATTCGCGCAAACACTCCGACGATTCGGTGCTGAACTGCGAGATAACCGCGACCCGAGGGAAGATGAGGCTGACCGCGCGGCTGCTGCAGGGACTGCTCGGGACGGCGCGAGGTTAACCGGTGTAGGTACGCTAGGTGACTGAGGAGAAGTTAACGGTAGTGCTGTGACAGAAACGCGCGGCTCTCGGCTAACGTTAGATTCGGCTCGTTTAGTGCGGGTTAGGATGAGCGGCGGGCGTCAGTGCTAGTTCCGCTGGTGACGATGAGCGACACCCGGCGGCGCGTCAAGCTGTACACGCTGAACGAGGAGCGGCAGTGGGAGGACCGGGGCACGGGGCATGTGTGCTGCTCCCTCACCGACAGCCTGAGGGTCACCGGCGAGGCGGACGGTAAGAGCCGCTTCTCTTCTCCTCAGTTGAGTTCAGTGTGATGAAGGAGCTCTGATGAGCTGTGTCTGGGCTCTTCTGCAGGCTCTCTGCTGCTGGAGTCCACCATCCAGCCCGGCACCGCCTATCAGAAGCAGCAGGTGAGTTCAGCAGCTTCACTGGGGCTCCGCCGCAGGGGACCGGGGTCTTGACCGCTGTGCCGTCTGTCTCCCCAGGACACGCTCATCGTCTGGTCCGAGGCGGAGAACTGTGACCTGGCTCTGAGCTTCCAGGAGAAGGCGGGCTGTGACGAGCTCTGGGAGAAGATCTGTCAGGTGGGTCTCTCTCTCTGTGGGATGGATGGTGCTGGGTCTCGTTGATGGTGAGCGTGTGTGTGGTGTGCAGGTGCAGGGCAAGGATCCGTCTGTGGAGATCACGCAGGACCCCGGGGACGAGTCTGAGGAGGAGCTGGCGGAGAGCGGTCACCCGCTGGAGCTGCCCCCCTGCGAGCCGAGCCGTCTGGAGGAGCTGGAGGAGCTGGTGATGTCCGTGCTGCCGTCGCCGGTCCGGCGGGAGAAGCTGGCGCTCGCTCTGCTCAGCCTGCTCAGCATCAGGAAGCTGCTGCAGCTGTTCCGGGCGAACGAGGAGGCGGGGGACCGCCGGGGCCTGCAGCAGCTGCACCAGATCGTGCGCGGCCTGCTCCTCCTCAACAAGGCCACGCTGTTGGAGGTGATGTTCTCCGACGACTGCATCATGGACGTGGTGGGCTGCCTGGAGTACGAGCCGGCGCTGCTGCAGCCCAAGAGCCACCGCCAGTTCCTCACCGAGACGGCCCGCTTCAGAGAGGTGATCCCCATCAGGGACTCGGAGCTGCGGCAGAAGATCCACCAGACCTATCGCGTGCAGTACATCCAGGACATCATCCTGCCCACACACTCCGTCCTCGAGGACAACTTCCTGTCCACGCTGTCCTCCTTCATCTTCTTCAACAAAGTGGAGATCGTCAGCATGCTGCAGGTGTGTGTGTGAGTGAGTGCAGGGTGTCCGCGGGGTCTTAAAAAGTATTAAAAGTTGATAAATCAATTTAGAGAAAATTAAGGCCCTTAAAGAGTCTTAAATGCCATTTTCCAAAGTATTAAATTTTGTATCATCTCTTCATTATGTATATTTGTCGAATGGTGGGGTTCTGTGTAGTTTATTTATAGACGTCATGTTACGGCGCTCACTGACTGACTGCGCCGCTGCGTGATAGCGCTGTCTCCCCAGGACACGCTCATCGTCTGGTCCGAGGCGGAGAACTGTGACCTGGCTCTGAGCTTCCAGGAGAAGGCGGGCTGTGACGAGCTCTGGGAGAAGATCTGTCAGGTGGGTCTCTCTCTCTGTGGCATGGATGGTGCTGGGTCTCGTTGATGGTGAGCGTGTGTGTGGTGTGCAGGTGCAGGGCAAGGATCCGTCTGTGGAGATTACGCAGGACCCCGGGGACGAGTCTGAGGAGGAGCTGGCGGAGAGCGGTCACCCGCTGGAGCTGCCCCCCTGCGAGCCGAGCCGTCTGGAGGAGCTGGAGGAGCTGGTGATGTCCGTGCTGCCGTCGCCGGTCCGGCGGGAGAAGCTGGCGCTCGCTCTGCTCAGCTCAGGGTACATCAGGAAGCTGCTGCAGCTGTTCCGGGCGAGCGAGGAGGAGGGGGACCGCCGGGGCCTGCAGCAGCTGCACCAGATCGTGCGCGGCCTGCTCCTCCTCAACAAGGCCACGCTGTTGGAGGTGATGTTCTCCGACGACTGCATCATGGACGTGGTGGGCTGCCTGGAGTACGAGCCGGCGCTGCTGCAGCCCAAGAGCCACCGCCAGTTCCTCACCGAGACGGCCCGCTTCAGAGAGGTGATCCCCATCAGGGACTCGGAGCTGCGGCAGAAGATCCACCAGACCTACCGCGTGCAGTACATCCAGGACATCATCCTGCCCACACACTCCGTCCTCGAGGACAACTTCCTGTCCACGCTGTCCTCCTTCCTCTTCTTCAACAAAGTGGAGATCGTCAGCATGCTGCAGGTGTGTGTGTGAGTGAGTGCAGGGTGTCCGCGGGGTCTTAAAAAGTATTAAAAGTTGATAAATCAATTTAGAGAAAATTAAGGCCCTTAAAGAGTCTTAAATGCCATTTTCCAAAGTATTAAATTTTGTATCATCTCTTCATTATGTATATTTGTCGAATGGTGGGGTTCTGTGTAGTTTATTTATAGACGTCATGTTACGGCGCTCACTGACTGACTGCGCCGCTGCGTGATAGCGCCGGGGCTTGTTGATCCTGCTCTCGCTGAATTTCTGACCATTACCATCCGCTCCCGCGATTTTTGTGTCCGCTCCCGCAAACATTCTAATATTGTATATAATTTTTTGCACATCAGGGAGCCGCTATCAATATGTGGGGTATTTAAATTGCTTTTGAATGAACGCTCGCAGTTCAGTTTCACTTTCGATTTCGCGATCGCGCGCGCACTGTGTAAAGGGAGCTTTTGAAATCATTTGGAAAATAATAAAAAAAAAAAAATGTGTAAAATAAACATACTTATACTTTAGTATTTTAAGTATTTTTCACAAATAAACAAATATGTAATAAAAATATAATTAAAAAGGAAGTAAGCATTGTAACCAACAGGGCACTAAGTATTCTGGGAAGTTTGTGTGCATTAATCACATTTTATCAAATAAAGCCAAGGTAACACTCATTTTACATACAGCACACAGTGGAAATGACATGAATATGACCGTGGGCATAATTAGAAATCACGAGTTTAAAGTTTGTCTCCAGTGAAGCTGAACTCTGCTCTGCAAGATTTTTTAAGTTAGATGTTCATTAGTCATTCAAAGATTTGTTTAAGTCAGTGGTCACCAGCGTGGTGTCCGTGGGCACCTGGTAGCCCGCATGGAGTCTGAGTCGCCCGCCCGCGGTGTTTTCAGCGTCTGCGTCTCAATATATGAGGACATGAACACATGCTCTTCATCTTCAGAGCTGCTCTGAGTCACTTCACCAGCTTTATGCAGCTTAATTTGAGAAAAATACCGTCATTACACGCTGAAACTAAAACTGAAAGACCTTCACGACAAACCGTCAAAATAAAAGTCCGGTTTAACTTGAAATTATATGACTGAATATATTACTACTGTACTACAATGCAATTCTCAAAGTAATAATAATATTATTTTTAAGGAATATCATACAACCAAGTTATTTATTATTATTAATTTATACAGTTCTGTTGTGCAGCATCATGTCTGATAAAATAAATTAAAATTCACTGTTTTGTTGTAAATTGATTTTCATTTGATTACATTTTAAAAGATTGATTAAATTGTTAAAGTTGTATTAATTCACTTCACTTTCATAAATTTGTACTGAATCATAAAACACGAATCCATAAGAAATCAAATGGAACACACAGAATTTAGGGGAAAATCAAATGCATTTTTGCATAAAATGCAAGATATATATTTATATATGTATTGGAGTATATCAAACAAGTAGCCCTTGAGACTATTTTATTCCTTCAGGGAGCCCTCACTCACAAAAAGGTTGGAGACCCCTGGTTTAAATGATATAAATGTGTATTTGCTGAATGCTGACGGCAAACAAGAAAGTATTATTATTAGGGATGCACCGATACCACTTTTTCCAGTACTCGCCCGATACGATACTTTTATTTCTGGTACTTGCCGATACAGAGTACCGATACCAATATTTTCATTGCATTTGTAAATTTTTTAAATATTGGGTACAGAAACCAAAAGAGCATGTACAGTATAATGTTAGTTGGTTAACTTCATTTATCAAATAGATAAAGTCAAACCAAAATTTACTCGGACACCTTCAACATTTCTCACATTATTATTAAACTGTGTCAGAACAAATTCAGCTTGATAATGTTAGATAACTTAGATAGAAAGGTATATAATGGATTACAATCAGCTAGTGTTGTCACGGTACCAACATTTCAGCATTCGGTACCAATACCAGTGAAAATCCACGGCTCTCGGGACCAAAGCAAAACACAAAAACATGCTAATTAAAACATTTGACTATACTTTCATTTAATCCAAACTGTGTACATATTTAATTTTAAAGGGCTTTTAAAACCTTCTAGAGTTATTCAGCCAAGAATAACAACTAAGTTAGCTAAAAAAAAAAAGCCCAGAACTTCTGACTGATATGACACAAACAATGTTAACCATTTGTACATTTTGTACATTACATATTTTATATTCACAATTCATTTAAAAGCCTCTGGTGTGTAAAAATAGTAAATATCATAAATATCATCTGTTTTTTTTTACCCTAATAAACGTTATTGGGAGCATTAAATAGTTAATAAAGAAACTTCATTCTAATG